TTTCTGCAGCATCCTGTCTCCTTCCCTGTGGCCAGGCCCGAGGCATGTTGGTCCCATGGGGCCCCGCTACATCCCACCAGCACCCCGCTAGTGTTTCTTCTGCTCTAGGGCCGGGGTGCCCATGGAGTTTGGTCTTGTCCTCCGTAGAATAAAGGGCAAGTGCGGGTCTCGTTTTTTCTTAGGAATAGGCTCCCAAGAGGGCAGCAGAGGCTCCTTCCCACAAACCCCAGTTCCCACGTGCTGCCTGCAGAGTGGGGGCTGCCTGGAACCCAAGAGCAGCTCTGGCAGGAGCAGATTTGTCTTGGCCAGGAGCATGAAACAGCTGACCATGGCTGGTGATAAGGAAGGGCGGGACCTGGACTTTGTGATATGAGCCTGAAAATGACTGCTTTGGGAACGGTGAAAATCAGATTTGATTGGATTTGTATCACTGTAATTTAGTGGCAGAAGATAAATCATTTAATCTGAGCCATGGTTTGTACATCTGTAAACTGGGAATAGCAGCTCTCACCCCTTGAGACATGACTTAATGAGATACATGACACCCGCAGCATACTGTGTGCAAAGGCAGGGGCACAGGTGCTGGTGGCTGTGTGCTACCGATGGTTCTGGGGAGCTGGGGGAGGTACTCTAAGACATCTGTCCCCAAAGCTTGGCATCTGGTTGTATGGCTCATAGGCTGATATGCAAAATGATCTGGCAGTTAGCAAAAAATTAGGAATTAGGCAACTGGGGGAGATTTAGATGGAGAAAAGGGTGATGAACCAAACTTTTTTCTTTTAAAGTTTCAAGTGTCTTTGGCCTATTAAAGATGAAAAAAGAGACCTGGGTCATTAATTTTAGCTTTATGTAAATAATTAACTTTCAGTCCCCTAGTGCTCTCTGTATTTTAAATAGATTGAGGTTCCACCACTCCTTCCCAAACACTGCCCTCTGACCATCACCAAGTCCTTGTGAGTCTCCCGCCCCTGGCCTTTGCTGAGACCTGCTGGTGCCGGGGATACTGCTCCCTACGGCCTGGGCCTGGGCCTCAGGTGGGGCGGGCCTGCAGCTCCTTGGTCCTTTCCGCTCCCTTCTCCAGAGCATCTGCTGTCCTTCCTCCTTTGTCCAGCGGCCTCCCTCTCCTATTCCGAGACCACACGCCCCGAGTCTCAGCCTTTTGCTTTGTGTTCTGCTGCTGACTTTCCCTGTTCTCCACTGAGGCCGCAGCAGCTCTCAAAGGAGGTGCTGCCCCGTCTTGTCACCCCCCAGCCTTCACCTTCCATGCCCTGACCCTTTTAGCCTTCCTCTGCACAGCTGAGGGAAGCAGTGTCCCCCCACGGGCACCTCGGACCCTGCATCGTCCAGCCTCCTCAGAACTGTAATTTCACTTTTTCCCCTCTTTTGGTCCTGGGGATCAAACTCATGACCGCTCTCTCACTTGCCAGGCAGGCGCTTATGCTGCTGAGCTTAATTCCCGGCTTTTCTTTTATCTTCTGACCCTTCTTTCTGCCTATTTTCTCTCTACAGATATTGCCAGCAGCTTCCTAACACCACTCTTAATCTCCTTGCAACCGACCCTTCTCCTAATCCTGTTTCTGTACATTTTAACCCACCGGGAGGAAAACTCTTAGGATTCTCCGTGATTTTTTTCATCTTTCTACATCAGAGTCATTTTCAAGACCTGTTGGTTCTCCCTCCAAAGTGCTTACCCACTTGCATCACATTGGCTGGCACCCTGGCACAAGTCAACATTTTCTCTTGAATCAACTATTGAAATAATTTCTTTTTTTGTTTTTTTTTGGTACCAAGGATTGAACTCACAACCTCGTGCTTACCAGGCAAGCGCTTGAGCCACAGAGCTGAATCCCCGGCCACTGAAATCATTTCTTAACCTTCCTCTCTGCTTCTTTTTGCTTCCCTAAAATCCAGTCTTCACACTGTGGCCAGGTGAGGTTTATGCAACAAAACGGTGCCGTACCTTTGCTTGTGACCCTCCAGTGGCTCCCGTGGCCTGTGAACTGGCTTCCCGCCTCCTCGAGGCCAATCGGCATTTTCTTTTGTTTTCAGGAAGCACTATTCTTCCCCTCTGAAATGTTAGTATGTACCGTTTACCTGGAATGTTTGTTCAGAGTTTTCTCTTCTTTCTTTCTGCATTAGGTGAGGCCGTCCCTGACACCCAGTATGCAGCAAAGTCCTCCTGGCTTTCTGTCACTGCTTTCTGTTCATTCTGGAGTGGCTGAATCCATCCCAATTCACAGTGACACACTTTTATACTTAGTTGCTTTTTTTTTTTTTTTTGGTACTGGGATCAAACTCACGATTTTTCGCTTGCCACACAGGTGCTTATGCCGCTGAGCTAAATCCCCGACCCTTGTTTATTTTCTGTTTCTTCCATTAGTTTATAGTCTATGAGGGCAGGGATTGAGTTTCTAGTAACTCACAGCTGCTCCTCGGATGGAATCAGCTTTTTTTTCGTTATACAAAGCAGTTTGCCATAAAAAGTTACATACATGTGCAAGACGTGGCAGTTTTGAAAAATTTAGATGTAGATGGATTCCTCCCATAGATGTGGTGGGAAACTGGTCCCTCTTTGTACAGGTTACTCCATATATAATATATTACTTTTTAAAAAAAGGTAAAATAAAGACCAGGCGTGGTGGTGCATGCCTGTAATCTCAGCCATTATGAGGCTGAGGCAGGAGGATCACTGCAAGTTCAAGGCCAGCCTGCACTGCAGAGTGAAACCTTATTTCAAAAAAAGTAAAGTAAAAAGCAGCATGATACAGTGCAAGGAACACCGGCTTGAGAGTCCTGACTTCGTTTCTGACCTTTTGTTTGTATTGGCTTATTACAAACTTTGTGTCTCTTTCTTCATTTGTGAAATAAGAGTTGAACTGGAAGAGATGAAAATCCTCTCTAGAATGCATGCCTGTGGTTGTAGGCTACAGAGTACCTTACAGTGATATAGGAAATCAGGACACTGATTTCTTGAACCAGTATATGGTGCCATGACGGTTCCAGGGCTGGGCTAGTCCAAGGGCCTGAGCCCTTCTCCCTTCTGCTTTGCCACTGGCTGTATGGTCGGGCTTCGCCATCATGGTCACAAGATGGCCATACAGTTCTGGGCACCACAGCCTCCCACAAGAGCATCCAAAGCAGTACAGGATGGGCACAAGGACAAAGCTCTCCGCATGGACCTCTTTCCTTTGATCAGGAAACAGAATCTTTCCTTGGGGTCCCCTAACAGCCTTGATGTCATGTCTTGTTTATTGATCAGAACCATCTCACAGTCTGCTCAAACCAATCACCAACAAGAGAACGGAAACGCCATGATTTACTTACCTCAGATAGAATCCACCCACTAGGGCTGACCTGTAATCAGCTGTACTCAACTCACAGGAATCCTATGCAGGGCAGGGCTGGGCAATAGCCTGCCCCCGGACCTAGATTCCAAGTGCTTGGCCTGTGGGAGGCTTCCTTGTTATTCTCCAGGAACTAACTGTGTTACTCACTTCTTTGGTGAGGTAGTGGTATGGAAAAACATTTTTTTTTTAAACAAAAGCTATACATTCCCAAATAAGGAGGGAAGCAAAATATGTTTGGAAATAGACGGATTCACTGGCCAAGAAAAATTCAGTGAGTGCTGAGCGCACTAGGCCACCAACTGAGCTTCCTATTGCCTACAGATACCCTCACAGGGAGCAGAAAAGGTTAGAGATCACGGTAAACTGTGAGGCAAGACATCTGCAAACTGTACCAGCTCTCTTGCATGTTGTGATCACAGCATCAGGTACTCCCAGTAAGGAAAATCTTGCTTTAGATCTGTGTGATAAGTCAAATAGCAAGCGAGAATCGTGTCAGGAGCAGCCCTATTACCAGGAACCCTTTATGTTCTAGGCACTGTCTTGGGGGTACCGATACAAAGGGACAGGGCCCCAGTTCTCAGGAGGCTGGCACTCCACTAAGGGCGAGGCTTTAACACAAGTGCACGTTTGAACGTGTGTGCTCTAAGAGGTGACCCTTGTAAGAGGAACAGGTGTTTTGGCGGAGGCTGAGTAAGGGCAGCATGACCTAGGAGTCCCTGGTTAGGAAAGACGGATACTGTGCGGGTGGCACTAAGGTCTGGAGGGCTCTGCAGGCCATGGAAAATGGGTACTTTCCACAGATAACTCAAAAGTACTGTGAATCAGGGTATTTTCTAGTTTTTCTACTAAAGGTTACTGAAAGATTTTATTTCATTTACTTAATACATTACACTGACTACACTGATTTATAAATTACAATATAGATGACCGGCTACCAATTAGTATTTCCCAAGTTTATTAAGTATGCTATTAGCAGTTCCATATAGACAGAAGCATTGCCAGAACTTTTGTCACCCAACAGTTTGTAGAGAGTCAGAAATGATTCTGCCCATACTGGAAGGCAAACTTCATAGTGAATACAGAGATTTCTTGCTCAGAGCTGCAGAAGTGTGCGGCCTGGCTCCGGGAGGCTTAAAAAGCATTTCATCAGGCCTGTGTTCAAATGTCACTTTATCAGTGCAGCTTCCCTGATCCTGCCAGACCTGACCTTCCTTTACTTTTTCTTTTTTACACCACATGCATCTCGATTGCTATTTATGTGTGCTAATTGTGTTTCCCCCACCAGAACGTAGGTCCCTGAGCATTTAGCAGGGATCTTTGGTTGGTTTTGCCCACTGGCTAGAGCAGCACCTCACAGAAGACCTAGCCTCAAAGGACTTTAGTGGAGATAATGAGCAACCTTTAAACACCTAACCTCTTGTTGCTTACCTTTGTCATTAAAAAGAAATATGTTACTATGAATGCAAATTTTACTGCGCTTGTTAGCGCAGAGTTGCTCGCCCTGTGTGTCTCTAGTGTTGGGGGTAATGCTGTAGTGCCCTGGAGGGCGAACCCTGGAAGATGTTAGGGCAGAACAGAGGTAGAAGTGGGCTTCTGGCCTTTGGTTGCAGAGTACCGTAAACTGACCATAACAAATGATATTCTTTTGAACAGGTATAGAAGTTTGGTCACTGGGAGCCGAGCAAGAGGGGTCATTGCTGTCCTGTGGGTCCTTGCCTTTGGCATTGGATTGACTCCATTCCTGGGGTGGAACAGTAAAGACAGTGCCACCAACAACTGCACAGAGCCCTTGGATGGAGCTACAAATGAAAGCTGCTGCCTTGTGAAATGTCTCTTTGAGAATGTGGTCCCCATGAGCTACATGGTGTACTTCAATTTCTTCGGGTGTGTCCTGCCCCCACTGCTCATCATGCTGGTGATCTACATCAAGATCTTCATTGTGGCCTGCAGGCAGCTGCAGCGTACTGAGCTGATGCACCACTCCAGGACCGTCCTCCAGCGGGAGATCCATGCGGCCAAGTCACTGGCTATGATCATGGGGATTTTTGCTCTGTGCTGGCTTCCAGTGCATGCTATCAACTGTGTCACTCTTTTCCAGCCAGCTCTAGCTAAGGATAAGCCCAAGTGGGCAATGAACACAGCCATTCTCCTGTCACATGCCAATTCAGTTGTCAATCCCATCGTCTATGCTTACCGGAACAGAGATTTCCGCTATACTTTTCACAAAATCATCTCCAGGTATGTTCTCTGCCAGACTGATCTCAAGAGTGACAGTGGGCAGGCTGGAATACAGCCCGCTTTCAGCATGGGATTATGACCTAGGCTCTGCCTCTTGGAGAGAAGGCACAGATGCAAACTAAACAATGGGACAGGATACGACTGGCTGATTCTTACTGTGAAAAGCAGCCACGCTCACAAGCACATGGCTGCCTCTTTGAGTACTTGCCTAAAGTTACTGTGTATCTGGTTGATACTACATGCTATTAGTAGGCTCCAAGGATTGACAAATATATTTATGGTCCTGTTTGCCTGCTTTTAGTGTGTGGGTGATGCTGACAGCTTGAATGGATTCTAAAACTTCAGAAGAGTCTGCCTCGTTCATGGTCAAAAATGACAGTTTACTATGAAATACTGTGAACTATTACATTGCAGATATTTTTAACATAGAGGCAGTGGAAAAATAAAAATTGTCTGTATTAATCTATACTTGTTCTCAGGAGGGTAATCAAGAACACTAAAAGTTTGAATCTTCAAACAAGAAGCTGCCAGTTTGAATCTTCAAACAAGAAGCTGCCCTATTAAGGAATGATATTCTCCTAAGTTCCCAAGTAGAATTATCATCAAGTAACAATTGTAAGCTCTGTTCTTTTCCATATACAAAACACTACTGTAGAGGAAGAAGTTGGAAAAATGGGATCCCTCCTTAGGCAAGGCAATTCTGCCTTCTAAAGCTAGGTATGAATTGCGCTTCTCTCCCAAGTTCAACTTCATTGAGGTTGTTGGAATCCAATGTGAAAATTCTACTAAGCAAAATTATAAAACTGTATTTTATGAAATAAATTTTTTTTTTTAAAAAAAGTTAAGGGGCTGCACTGGCATGTCATACACAACTACCTGTACTGCCTAGATAATACATGTTAACCTGCGGGTTGCTTAAAGGTGATCATTCTCATTCCAGGTTTTTCAAGTAGCAGAAGCGTCTTGACAGGTGCTTGTCGATTGGCTCAAGGTAATACAGGGCTCTGCCGACAGAGAACACCGTAACAAGCGCAGCTGGAGCTGTGCACCCAGGGGGTGTTTGGGCCTGTCTAGGAGAACAAGGCTGAGGGTCAGCAGGTGTCCCAGCTGTGCACCGCTTCCTGCCCAAGGACACTGCAGGGTGTCGATCCCCCAAGTTAGGGCACTCCCGTCCTCTAGGAGTCTCTCCGGGCTGTGCACAGCTTTGTCTCATTTCCATCTTTACCTCATCGCTGCTCCTTTGCTTTCGTTTAAGGTCCGAGGCTCTTTTCGCCCCTTTAAAAATCTGTTTTGTCTCTTCTTCTTTAGACTGAAAGTCCCGAGCATCTGTGGCTTTGTTTTAGGGCCTGAGTTTTAATTGTAGTCCTCCATTTACTGCTAAAAAGCTGAGAAATGCATGCAGTGCAAAGGAGCTCCTCCCTTGCTCTAGACCTAGACAGTACCTAAGGTGATGAGGCTCCAACACACGGTATCTCAAGCCCACTAAAGTCAGAACTGCTGCGTCTTACTCCTTAGAGCTGTTCAGTCATGTCGCTGCCCTAAAATGTTATTGCTGCTGAAAAATTTAAGCACTCCCAAGGGAAAAACTCAATATCTATTCATCTAAACTTACTCTTGCTCAGTTTGGTCAGCTGTCCTAACCTTTTAAAAATCAGTAATTCAGTTACGTAAGAATCTAGTTGTGTATACAACAGGAATTAGGTTTTATTTGACTCCACCACATGTGATTCTACTCAGACATTTTTCACCCAGAAGGCTGGTCCAGGTTTTTCAGGAGAAGCCTGCACATGGTTTCCAACCAAACACATGGCCTCCACAGTCCACAGCTGCCACCCCAGGTCCCTCCAGAAGTCCAGAAGGAAAAGTGGATCATAGTAACAAGTATCTGGAAGATCCATTTCGTCTTTCTTCCTTGTAAACCATGACCTGTTACATGTATTTCTTGATGAGACTTCTGTCTTGAAACATAATGGGGCACCATCGGTAACATTTGTGTTTATTTCTTCTCCATCAGTATGTCAGTCAGCTGCTTGTCAGAAACACTTAGTTGCTGACAGGTCCTCATAACCTGACTAAGATAAACTGCCAAGAGGTGCTTGCACTGAAATATAAAACATACGAGCCCGTTAGGGACAGGCAGTCTAACCAGGTCCTCACTACTATCGTAAGTGAGAGCGTCAGCTCCTTCCTTGCCCTCAGAAAACTATCATGGCAGTGGCTAACATTCCTAAGGGTCTGTTCTGCTCAGTGCTTCTCAGAGTCTCATGAAAGTGGAGAGCCACCCTATAAAAACAGGTAGCGATCCCATTTTACCAGGATGCTCAGAGCCTACAGTCTTCCGCTTCCAGGCTGACAGCAGGAAGGGGGAGGAGGGTGGCAGAACTTTCACATGTACTGGCCGGTACATCACTCTGGGGAGATGGATGACTTTGCTGGACTTTACAGCACAGAACACGGCTTTAAATCTTGAAGGGCTGCCAGGTCAGTTCTATCATTTTATAGGTGAAATATACTTGGGGACATCAGCTATGAATATGACCTCCCATGAATGGGTTACCCAACCTGGAGCCTAGTTCCCAACTGTGTAAGAGTTAACAGTGTAAAATGAGACGAATGGGGTAGACTCCATTATTTTCTTCTTTGGCAAAGCGAAGATGTAATGACCTGCTCTGAGGAGGGCAAGCAGTATCTTCCCATTTGAATGAAGAATGTATGAATATGCCCTTGCTTGACACTCAGGACTGTGATCAAACTGGCAAAGGCTGAGAGGGACAGGCAAAGGCAGTCCTGCCTCACACAAAGGTTGAGTGTAGTGCCAGGCTGTCCTGCAGGTTGTGAGCAGACACACCTCATGGCTAGAGTTGGAGATACGGGAAATTGCCAACATCTGATTTAGTTCTTTTTTTTTTTGTCTTTTTGAGACGAGTCTCGCTATGCAGTTCAGGCTGGCCTTGAGCTCACTTTATAGCCCAGGCTGGTCTTGAACTCGAAACGATCTTCCTGCCTCAGCCTCCTGAGTGCTGGGATTACAGGCATGAGCCACCACACCCGGCAAGTTCCTATTTTTATTAGGTCACCTAAGCCCCAAGTACCAATCTCTAGAATACCCTGCTGATATCCCCAAAGCTTCTTCCATGGTCTTTTAAATAAGAAAGCAGGAAACTGATGTTCCAAAAATGACACTGCATTTTGGGAAGCTAAACCCAGAAGACTGAAGACAAGGGCAATAAACTACTTTTTCAATTTGCAATAAAATGACCATTTTGTGCAACCCTTACACCACGAGATCAAGGCTGACAGTTTCTCTCTCAATCTATTGTGGCAAGACCTTCCCCATCCTTACCAGGAGGCTGTCACTCTTCCGCAGCACTGAGAAGGCAAATGCAGGACACGAGCAGTAATGACAAGAAGCCAAACAAGTGTATGTTTTACCAGAACTTCCAATTACCTAGCAAGAAAAGGACAGAGGGGATCAGATCTCCAAATGGGTGCTTGTAGGTATCACTCCTTTCCTTTGACTTGTCCTACTTATGAGTCAGAGGTGCTCTGCAAATTACCTGGAAAGAACTGCAGTAGGGCTTTGCACAGAAGGGGAAACTCCACTTCTCTTCCCTCCAGCACACAGACTCTTCCTTATCTCTCTGTTCTACCCGTTAGGACTTCAAACAGTGGAACTCAAGGATTTCAGCACAGTTCAACCTTCCACACAAGCAGTTTTGCTTCTATACTTAGTGATTCATAAAGGCCACCTGATGAGCCTACTACCAAAAGCTTTCCTTATCTACTTTTATCGTGGGATTCCTTAACCTTTGGTAACTTGCAGCATGTGTATAAATTTCTGAAGCTTCTATCACGTATCCAAAGAGATGTGAAATTGTGTAAAGGGTGAATGGTGGGCAGGAGTAAGGTCCCAGAAGAAGTAGAAAAGGGTTTTTGGAAATCATTTTAGAGTAGGGAGAATAATAAAGCAAACAATCTTGCAAAAGGGATGACTCAGCTGCTCAGGGCGGAAGTTTCAGGAAAAGAAGCAAGTCCAGATCTGTCCACTCATTCAGCAGGATGGAAGGAGGGTACAGACACATGAGGGCTGACACGAGGCCCATACCAACAACAGTAGTTTTGGTGGCAGTCAAGAGAGACACAGGGAGAGAGAAAGGGATAGAAAAATTTCTCTGTGTGTGGCTAGATAAATTTGTTGGAGAAGTCTCTGTACCAAGTAGCCAAAAACTTTCTGTTGGAGGCCTGCTGTAGTTTGGATCTTTAGTATCCTCCAGAGGCCCTAAAGACTTTGTACCCAGCCTGGGGTGCTGCTGAAAGGTAGCAGAACCTTTTGAGAGGTGGGGCTTAATGGGAGGAAGTTAGGTCACTGGGGCATGCCCTGAAGGCGATAGGGATTTTAGCCCTTTCCTCTTGCTTTGCTTTCTAGACCCTTTGAAGTAAACAAGTGCACCTATCATGATGTACTGTGCTGCCACAGGCCCAAAGCAATAGGGTCTAGACTGAAACCTCTACAACAATAAGTCAGAATAAACCTTTCCTCTTTTCAAGGTGATTTATCTCAGGTATGTGTTACAGCGACTGAGAACTAACTAGTACAGGGTTTTGTTGCTAGACTTGATTTCCAAACTAGGGATATGAGATTATTATTAGTATTCAAGTAGAAACATTCCGAGGATTATTCTGTAATGAACTGCAATGTATACATTACTACAAGGGCTTCACATTAGGATTTAAGATGGCAATTTAAACAAAAAGGTCAGGGCATCGTTGTTGTTATATTATCACCATTTCCAGGGTTCTTTATTCTTTCTCCATGTATTGGTCACTTTTCTGTCACTAAAACAAAATACGCAAAACCTCCAACCTAAAGGAAAGGTTTATTTTGATTTACAGTTTCAGTGGGTTTAGGCCAGGGTCAGCCGGCTTCAGGGCAGAAGTGCTATGGTTGAGGAAAATAGCTAACGGCATGGCAGCTAGCAAGCAGTGTGGAGTGGGGAGCTGAGGAGAAGAGTGCACCTTTCCAAGTCACACCCTGTCCCTGGCCAGGCCCTGTCTCCTAAGAGCATATTCAGCTATGGACTGGTCAACTGGTTAATCCACTGATGAGCATGGTGCCCTCATGATCCAGTCACCTTTCCAAAAAAACCTCACCTCTGAGCACGCGGGACTTTTGGTGGACATTCTAGATCTAAGCCATAACATTCTACCTCTGGGCCCCAAAATGCTTAGATCTGTCTCATTACATAAAATGTATTTAGTCCATCTCTAAAAGTCACCAAAGTCTTAACAGTTGCAGTCCAAGTCTGGAGTCTCTCCTGAGACTCAAGGAAAATTCTTAGCTGTGAGCTCCCAAAGAATTAAAAAGAAAGTTAAACACTCCCAACATACAGTGGTACAATCAGAAGTAAAGTTAAAACATCCTCATTCCAAAAACGATAAAATAGAACTAACGCTAGACTGAAACCCAGCAGGGCAGGCATTAAATACTGTAGCTCTGTGTGTGGCATTCAGGAACACGGTGGTGAGACCCGAGCTCCAAAGAGCTGGGGAAACGCTGTCCTATGATCTTGACAACTGGCAGCCCACCCGGCTCCTGTCTTTGGCTGGCTCTGCTCACTGTAACAGCTTTCTTCAGCACCTGCTTCACATTTCTGGCTCCTCCAACTCCCTGAGGTCTCCACCACACCTTCACGAACTGCTCTCTCACAGGCCACTGCGTGTCTCCCAGACCTCAACTCTTCCATTGTGCATTCCTGGAAAACCAGCTGACACGGATGATGCTGAAGTCTGCCTCCAGTGGGAGGAGTAGCCATGCCCCCTTGGCTACTGCTACAGAGACCTTTGTGCACCTGGATGGCGTGGCACTATGAAAAAAATCCTGGGGAACAAATTTCTAGATGGTACCTTTTGGGTAGAGGGCCCAGGGACTCTTTTTTTTCAAATGAAATCTTAACATTTTTGCATCCTTGAGCCTATGATGGATGAGATCTTGCTGATTTCTGACAAGGCATTTTTTTTTTTTTTTTTTTTTTTTTTTTGTACCAGAGATTGAACTCACAAACTCATGCTTGCAAGACAGGTGCTTAGGCCGCTGGACTAACTCCCCGGCCCAAGGCATCTTTTTGTCCATGCACAAATTACTTGGCTTCCTCATTATACTCATCATTTCAAGACCTACACTTGCTGTTGGCCCAACTTTGCAGGCATTTCCTTTCTGGTGAAACTACAAACTTCAAATCATTCGGCTCTGCTGTTTGCTAATGAATCTCTATGTAGATCTAACTGAAAATAGCCAGCCGTATCCATGTCACAGCTTGAACATTGTGCTGCTTTGAAATTTCATCCACCAGATTAGTCTGTTGCCCTTAATATCAGTATCTCTCAAAGTCTCAGGACATAGGTAAAATTTAGCAAATTTTCTGCTGGAGTGTAATTCACACGGTTTCTCATCCAACTTCCAAAGGAGTCCTTGTTCCTAACTGAAACCTCCTGAGCCTGGCTTTTATGTGGGCTATGTTCCTATTAGCATTCTGGTCTTCTGACCTCTGACTGGTACTGTACCTCAAGTACTGCTTTTAACATTCTAGGGTAGTAGATCTACAGTTAACCTACTATACACGACTCAACAGAGGGCTGTCTGTATTACTAAAAGCTCTAAAAGGTTGACCATCACTATTTGAGGGCTTCTATAGCCATCATCTACGCACTCCTGCTGCAAACCAGTTCCAACACTTCTTTTTTTTTTTTTTTTTTTTTTTTTTGTCTTTTTCCTTTTTATCGGTACCCGGGATCGAACTCACGACTGCCTGCTTGCAAGGCAGGCGCTTATGCCGCTGAGCTAAATCCCCAGCCCCTCCAACACTTCTGACTCACATGGCCACCTACAGTCACAGAAATGGATCCACTTGCAGTATCAATTTATTAGTATTAGTCACTTTATCATCACTGTACAAATACCTGACACCCACAACTTAAAGTAGAGGTTAGAGGCAGGGATATAACTCAGTGGCACAGTACCTGCCTGATAAGCACAAGGTCCTGAGTTTGATTCCCAGTACCAAAATAAATAAAATAAAATAGGGGTTAATTTTAGCTAACAATTTCACTAGGCTGAGTCCATGGTTGACTGGCTCCAAGCAGACATGCCATGGTAACATGGCACGCTTAAAGAAAACTGTTTACTACATGGCAGCTAGCAAGTATAGAGTGGGGAGGAGCCAGGAGCCAGGGAGAACACACTTTCAGATCATACCACCAATAATCTGCCTCATCTGACCATGCCTCACCTTCTAACAACACATTCAGCAACAAACTCATCAGTGGATTAATGTACTGGTGAATATAGCTCGTGATCTACCCACTTTCCAGACAAAACAAAAAAAATCCGTACTTCTGAGCACTTAAGACTTCTGGGGAGACATTCAAGATGTAACCCATAACACCCCATCCCAGAGACTAAAAAAATAGGTAAGGCTTTAAATAGAAGAAATAGTAGATTCAGGTGCTGTGCTTCTGTTTGTCACTATTCAGTACTTGGTGCAGCCACCTTGGTATAATTTTTGACGAAATCACAAGAACTTCTTAGGGGTTGCTAGATTTCTAGCCAATGGCTGGGTAAGAAGATGCCTACTGTACCCGAGTTTAAATCAGGTACTGATGAATCACAGCTTATATACTACTCACAAGTAGTATTATGAGCATATATCCAATACTAGTATGTATCAATAGAAAAACTTTGCCAGTGTGTCTGGAAAACATAAACTGAAAGGAGAACACTAAAGTATTCAGCTTCCTCTTTAATCCTAAAGAAAACTTACCACTATCCAACAGTGACAATTCTTGGGTCTCTGTAAACCAATGAATAAAACGTTGAATTTTTTCTTTTGTTATTTCCTGTGTGTTTTTGGTTTAGACTGAAACAAGCCTAAGCCTCTAAGACTCTGCACTGACTTCAGTGATTCAGTGGATGGTTCTTGTATCCGTCAGAATGCTCCCTGGATTATGTTGAATGAATGCCTGCTGACTTAGAGACGGGATGAAACTCTACAGCGGCTTCCTTGCCTAATCCTTTTGCAGGTTGCCAAAGAACTCAAAAGTAAAATGTTCAACTGCCTGAGTCAGTAAATCCTGCCAACAAAGTAAACTGTGAATTTGTTTCCTCCTTATCTAGCAGTAGACAACTACTGAACCCAATAATCAGGCAAAAATCCAAGTTTGAAATTTTAAAACTGGAAATTAACCTTAAGGATAATTTAATTTAGTTCCTTTTCCCTTCAATGGAAAAATGACCTCCTCTTACAGAAATAGCTCTGAGTTCTTCCACTCAAGAGTCTGGAATGTTTATTCTCAGAAGAAATGAGATTGTAAAAAATACACAGGAAAGAGACTGCGATCCTCGAGCCATGACTGAGCTCTTAAGGAGCCTCACTTAGAGGAAGTCTTCTGTGATTTCAGAGTGACCCACCTAGGTGGTTGTCCACTCATGGACACAGTCTTACTTTATGACTGCTCCAAGCCTCTTAGGGTACTCACTGTAGTAAGCTGTAATTATTTATTGTTTCCTGTACTTGGTGGCTCTCCCTGGGAAAAGGATTACACATTCCTGTACTACTGAATACAAACTGCTATGTGACCTGCCTTTAGTCAACAGGCAGAAACGTTGGAACTCGTAGCATATCATGAGCCCTTTTTTTCTGCCGTGAGTCCTACAAAGCAGTTGTTTCACCAATAGGGATCTCTGAATGACAGTATTTTGGAGCAGATCTACAGTTAACTCCTGATCATATGTGGCATGAATGCATATAAAGCTTGGTTTTTGTAAGCCTTTAAGTTTTGAAGGTCATTGTTACCACAGCACAGCTTAGCCTTCCTGACTGAAATAACCTCATTTTTAAGTGAGCAAAAATTTTCTGTAAAGCAGCTCAGGTGACAGCAACAAAATGGTGACTTTAGAATAATTACATCCACGCGGAGGACAGTAAAGATATTAGGCTGACCTATGGAATGAAGATTGATTTATGAAAAGGTAATTTCTGATTCAACTTTTATTATCTTATACAACCCATGAATTAAGCCAAATTCTTGCTGTGTTACTATATAATACACCATTAAGGTTAACTTGAGGGTGTATAAGATTTCTATAGTCTCATTTAATCCAAAGTCCAAGATGACAAACACAATTCTCTGCATTTCTATGACTAATAAAGGAATGTAATATAATACTGGATAGGAATGACAAAAACTAAACAAGGCACACTGACCGCTGGGATGAGCAAAAAGCCAACAATAACTAAAGTATTTTAAACAAGATCTTTAAGATTTTAATTGATAACCACAGCACGGAACTTGAGAACAGCTAAAAGTCTGCTTACTTAGCTCAAGTGTTATGCTGATAATGGAACTAAAACTAAAAGAGGCAGGGAAAACTCTTTCTTTTTTTTTGGTCTTTTTCATTTTTATCGGTACCGGGAATCGAACTCATGACTGCCTGCTTACAAGGCAGGCGCTTATGCCACTGAGCTAAATCCCCAGCCCGAGAAAACTCTTAAGTGCCCTGTAGTTTTGGGTATTTTAGCTACACAAAAACAAAAATAAAAGTACCAGGAAAGAAAATAGAAACACTTCCTCAGATAAAAAAAAATAAAGTCAGTGACTCTGATTATTCATCTATAAGCTCACCAGGAGGAAATTCTTCTACTACACAATCTATTTTAAGTAGGAAAATACCATACAAAATTTATAACTGTGCATCCAACACTACTCCATTTTCCTTAATGAAGAAAACACTATGATGATTTTGCCAGATTAAAGAAGTCATGCTACAGTACAGAATGACAAGTTTACTAAGGGAAGGTACCTCTTTATCATAGCAGGCTTTGCTCAAACCACTCACTCCCTATGAATTAACTAACAGATTCACTCAGTGGGAGTTAACTGACATGTTCTTAACTCTAAGAAATTCACTGTAAAATGACTCATTCAAACAACGAAAAATTTTTCCCACGCTGTTCTTCAGCAAAGCCTTATCAACAGACAGCAGCTAATGGCTTCTTTCTACCCCTTCTTATCCAGACACAAAACATGAGACCTCACTGTCAATACATTAATCTCATTCATAAGATTCTCTTGCCTCAAGCCCAGCTGCACTTACCACTATGTCTCATGTAGTTAACCTGGGGAGAAGGCAGTTAGGTTAGCACTCTATTTACAAACAGTCTTTATCCTGCTCTCAGATTATAAAACAAACCACCAGAGTTGATTGTTACATTACACTTTTGTACTTCAGTTACCTGAAAAAGAAATAATCTGTAGGGTTACTGGTAAGAATTATCAGTAATACATGAAAGTACTATAATTTAGAGTCTGTGAAGAGGTTAGTTCATAAATCTGTATATGAGCTATGGGAGAAAAACTAAAGCCAAGCAGGCTACCTGCATTCAAGCAGCCTGACCCTTGATAAAAACTTACTGACGACAGTTTTGAAAGATCATTTCTAATAGGTCATACCAGGTGGTCATCCTGTGGAAGGTGTCAGGTCCCCTGCTCGGTGGGAGAGAGCGCCCCAAGTGGATCTATTATTCACACCTGCAGGTGCACAGCATTAACAGGAAGCTAATAACTGCCCCACACAGCTCAACCTGCAGACAGCTGATTCTGCAAAAAGTCACGAGAAATATGCTGTGCCTGCCAGGACTCTCTTGTACCCAACACTGCCCTATCAGCCATTCCCAGATCCCCTACAGAGACCCCAAATTTTACACCCTCCTCAGCAGTGCCCCCTCCCTTACCTAAAATCCCCCATCAGACATGCTCCCAACCCTTGCTGGGTGCTAATGCTCTTTTCACCTGTGCCCCGGCTGCACCTGGTCTGCAGTGAATCCTTGCATGGTGCTTAAACCCTGCCTGCCTCAGTGGTCTCAACTGTGCCTCAGTGTACTCTAACAGAAGGACCTCAAAGCGCAATCTGGCTTTTCTCTGTAGGCAAGAGATTATGAAGGAGATGAAAATGTCAATAAATTTAGTGGGAGCGATGCCCCTGCTATCTAGACAAAAGCAAAAGTTGACTTTCGTGAGACCTGAGAAGAGGGCCTCCCCACATCATTCCTGGTTCTACACAATTGCTGGGCAGGGGTAATAGATCATATTGGTCTTACTTTAATTACTTAAATGCCTAAGGATATTTTGTTAAGTGACATAAGCCAGGTACAGAAAGATTAAGATATTGCATGATCTCATTTACAGGTGAAATTTAAAATAGTCAAACTTGTGGAAGCAAAAAGAGGTGGCTACTAGGGGGCTGTGAGGTAAGGGGGAGGTTAGGGAGGTGTTGTTAAAGGGTACAACACTTCAGTTAGGCAGGCGGAGTAAATTCAAGAGATCTATTCTCCAATATGGTAACTACAGTTAATGACAATGTTTTATATTAGAAACTTCAAAGTTTCTAAGAGAGCAGATATTAAGTATTCTTTCTTTCTCTCTCTCTCTCTCTCTTTCTCTCTCTCTCTCTCTCTCTCTCACACACACACACACACACACACACACACACACACACACACAATAAGTATGTGAGTAATGGATAAGGTAACAGCTTGTTTAGGCCTCCCACAAGGTATACCTATATCAAAACCAACTTTTGTATGCCACAGATACATACTTTTTGTCAATTTAAAATGAATTATTAATATGTTACCTTTACTAAGGTGGGTTGAGGCTTTGCAGTAGTTCAGAAAATAGTTCAAGCTGGTTAGAACTTCCAGAGGTTCACCAAGACATTTTGTCCGAAGGGGTTTCTGCCGAGAACACCCCCACTCACCGACTCCCACCCCAGCCTCCTACCTGGTAAACTCGCCTTCCACTGGGCGATGAAATTAAAGTAATGGACTGTCGATCAACTAGATCCAAGGCCTGGACAGCAGAAGAGCCAAAGACAAACTTCAGCCTGGGAAACAGAAACGCTCTGGTTAAAAGGGCTGATTTGCAGTCACTCCAGTAACCACACCCAAAGGGTCACCATCGCCAGCAGTATTTTTTTCTCACAGTGCTGTGGGTGGGCTGGACTCAGAGCTTCATGTACGCCAGGCGAGTGTTCTCTACTGAGCTACAGACCCATCCCCTCAGTAGTTTTAAAAATGCATTTTAATTTGGATAAGTGAAAATAAATATGGGAAAACCTACGGGCGCATTTACTTCTCAAAACCAATGTTATCTTGTTTACTCATTTCTAATGTTCTTGGTTTTACAAATAAAAGGAATAAACTAGTATAGATAAAAAAGTCCTCTTTGTACTCTTGAGAGCAGGGGCACCACTCCCAATAAATTTATTGACATTTTCATCTCCTTCATAATCTCTTGCTTACAGAGAAAACCCAGATTGCATTTTGAGATCCACCAGTCAGAGTAAACTGAGGCACAATTGAGACCTCCTTTTACTTTATACTACTTTATGGTCCTCCTTATATTTCTTCCCACATTCCTTCCATCTCTTTGGAAATCATATCTTTTTTTCTTACTTTCCTTCCTCCCTTCCTTTGGTTTGTGGTTAAACACAGGGCCTTTACATGGTAAGCATCTGCTTTACCTCTGAGCTACATCTCCAGCCCAAACATACACACTTGTTTCTTTTCTATTGATATCTGTGTACTTCATTATATACAGGATGTGTGCACCTATGTTTCTACATATCTACATAATGTATGAATATACAAATGGGGCTGTCCTATAAATCTTAAAATATACCAAGCATATTATTTTATTTTCCTATTAGCTAATCTCATGTACAGAATTTGGGGAGATGGGAAAGATTGCGTGTGACTTTTTTTTTTTTTTTTTTAATCGGTACCAGGGATCGAACTCACGACTGCCTGCTTGCAAGGCAGGCGCTTATGCCGCTGAGCTAAATCCCCAGCCCCCGCCTGTGAGTTTTTAACAGTAGACATGACAAAACAGCCAACAAAGAAAAAGAACACTTGGTTAGAACTTTATCAATCAGAGATAAGTTAACTTTAAAAGTCTTTTAAACTTGATTTTTCTACTTTATGACTATTGTGAACATCTCTTGACTGCATTGAATATTTTTCTGTCATACCACTCTTAATGGCAACAAAGATTTCTACAGTAAAGATCAACTGCTTTTATTCTCTCAAATTATTTTGGATAGGCTATTTCCAGGTTGTTTTGTTGCTCCCACTACCTGTACTAGATGTATATGCTCACTGTAAAATCTTTGTGAACATATATGATTACTTCCTTGGAATACATTCTTAAAAATGGGTCAAAGAAAAAAATGGGGATGAAATAATATGTATGTGTTATGGCTGGGCCTGGTAGGCAGCACATGCCTGTAATTTCAGCAACTGGGAGGCTGAGACAGGAGGACAGCCGTAAGTTTGAGGCTAGTCGGGGCAAGACAGTGAGTTTAAGGGCAGCCTGAACTGCACAGTGAGACCCTGTCATTAAGGAAAAAAAAAAAACCAATATGTATGTTGAAAGCATAAATGTCTGTTGCCAGGTAACCTTCCAATTTACCTTCCTACTAAGAAAGTATCATTTATCTTTTTCACTACTTTCCGGCCAACATTTTTGCTGTGGCTGCCAGTTTTATATATGAAAAGTTATCTTAATTTGTGTTTTTAATGGTCAGTAGTAAAATTTATCATTTCCTCCAAAGTTTTTGGCTCCTGGCATTTGTTTTGCTTTTAAAATAGTGATTTATTTTTTACGTCTCTATAATGCATATAGAAAAATATGCAATTAAGTGTCATTTCTAGGTAGCTTTCACTTTTTCATTGCCATTGAGAAAATAATTATAGTTTTTGATTTTGTGAAATAGAATGATTTTTTATTTTGGTATTTTTATTGTTTTTATTATTTTGTTTTTTAAAGTAGTTATATTTCCAGGTGTGGTGGCGCATGCCTATAACCCCAGAACTCTAGAATCTGAGGCAGGAGGACTGTTGCAAATTCCAGACAAGCCTGGGCTACATGAGCTTAAGGCCAGCCTGAACTGCACAGCGAGACCCTGTCTCAAAAATAAAATAAAATAAAATAAAATAAAACCATTAAAAAATAAAGTAGTTATATCATCTGCAAAAAATAATTGTTTTTCCCTGAAGATAGTTCTATTTCTATTTTTCCTATGTGTTACTGTAACAGCTATAGTTTCTACAATGTTAGACAGGACCAGAAAATAGGACAATATATTAGTAACTTATAATGTTCAGTTATGTGGCCATTCATTTTTAACAACCATATTAAAAAATTGTTTCTAGTTTAGTAAGACTATTTTTAAAAACCAACAGTTGCTATTGAAAAGATTTAGATCTTAAAACATATTAATAGTTTAAAAAATCAAACACAACAGGGTGTGTACTTACGATAAAAGATGGTCATCAGGAACTGTAAAGTGAGAAAGGAGAAAAGGTTAACCATGTTAAACTAGAGACCATAAACATAAAAATCTTTTTAAAAAACTATAACCAAAGATTGTACCTTGACTGTAAGGTTGTTAACTTGACTTACATATCTAACTTTATTCTTTCCTCAGATCCCACTCAAACAATAATAAAAGATTTTTTAAAAAGCATGAGCCATGGTTGGTGGTATGTGCCTGCAACTTCAGCACTCTGGGAAGCTGAGGCAGAAGAATCACAAGTTCAAATGACTGAGCACCATCTCTAATAAATAAATAAACAAATGGCTAGGGACGTAGCTCTGTGCAAAGGCCTTGGAGTCCAGCCTCAGCACCACATGTATAAATAGGTACATAAAGGTACAAACTCCCAAGGATGAGGGCAGAGAGAAATAGTTAAAGCACTCTCGAAGCTATAGAAGAGAGAAAAATAATTTATGAGACCTGAGAAAAATGAATCCTTAAGCTACTAATAGGGACAGCCAGGTGCCAACTTGACTGATGTTCCAGAACACACTGCCCACCCTGTACCTGCCCCACCGTACCCTCAAAGAAACCTTCAGAAATTGGCGGCAGCATATAGCTCTGGAGGCCAGGATCAGGCAAGGATACTAAGATTTTTTTTTTAGTTTGGTTTTCTTGAGACAGGGTCTCACTATGTAGTTCAGGCTGGGCTTGAATTCATTTGACCCCAGTTGTTCTCTTCAGCTGTAGATTACTGCTGCACCCTCATTCTGGCAAAAGACTAGGCATGTTTCTGGAGATGTTCAAACTACACCATTTGGAGCAGTTCCACGTACTAGGTATGGCGGCTCTAAGCGCATCACATGAAAAGCACAGGGACTCCTTGTGTCATCCCCAGCACAGCTCTTGTAATACAGATAACAAGGCTTTCACCCTCTATGCAGGATCTGCTTTTCGCTGGGGAACCTGACCGACCCAAGAGGAAGGACACTGGAGTAGATTCTCTAACTGAGGCCCAGTCAGAGCAGTTACAGTGGCATAGCCAGCCCGCCTGTAAGCTCCTCCACAATCAGAGCCTTCCACTCTTAAACACGACTAGACAACTACAGATGACCAGACAACAAAGGAAAAACACACAGAACAAATAGGAGAGAGCTGTTAGACAAGAATGGAGGAGGAAAAATCCAAATCTTTAATATCTCATAGAAAAACAAGTTAACGCAATCATAAAACAGGCATGAGCTACAATATAAGAATCAAGTAAAAGAAGTTGTAAATTAAATATGGCAACAGAAGTTAAAATTCGATAGAAAACCAGGAAGATATAATTGAAGAAAATTCTCAAGAAATAGAATAAATAAAGAAGATGAAATATGTGGGGTGGATAAGTCACTAAGAAGGACAATAAAGGACATTCAGTAACTGAATAAAGGAATACAAGAACAGAGAAAACAGATGGAGGGGAACTCATCAATCAAGTCAGGAAAATTTCCCAAGAAAATTTCTAGCTTGAAAGGGTTCACATAAGTTTCCATGTGGTAGGATGAAAAAACACTGCAACACTGATTCGAGATGATACAGTTGACCCTTAACATCCATGAGTTCCATATACACATATTCAACCAACCTCATGCCAGAAACAAGCAAACAAAACAAAACAATGTCCTTTTTTGATCACTATTTCCTGATGCATACAGCACAGCACCTACTTACACAGCGTTTGCATTGTATCATATATTATGAGTAATGTAGATAATTTTAAGTATACAGGAAGATGTATGCAGGTTACATACTATTTTATTTAAGGAATCTGAGTGTCAATGATATCCACAGGCAGTGCTTCAACCAATCCTCCATAGACATTGAGTGACAAACGTAATCTAAGTTTCCAGAGAAAATAAAGGTCATGTACAAAAAAATCGGGAGCAACACTAGATGTTAGAAGGTAGAATAATGCTTGCAGATGTCTGAAGAAATATTATTTCCAACGTATAATTTAATACTTAGCCAACCTATCAATTAAGGTTGTGATGGTAGAAAAAACTTTTTCAGACTTGTAAAATTTCAAAAGTACCATAAGATAAGGTAATCAAGAAAATAAAATTGTAGGATATACCAAACATCAGACCCAACATAGGTTAAAGAATTTTTGGGGGAATAACAGTGAAGGGAAAAAGAGATCTCAGACAGCCAAGAGATCAGTCAGCCCACAGAAGGCAAGCCAGTGGGCTTGAGGAAAAATTTCAAGAAAATTCAACTGACACAAACCTCACTCATTGCGAGTAGATATTTAGAACACTAGGAAAGAATCTGAGGTTGAATTAGGTATAAATACACAGAAAACAAAACAAGCAAACCAAACCAAGGCAGCTATAACTCCAGGGAAACCAAACAGTTACCCAGGAAAGGAAGAGTAATCAGTTTCCTGCATAGCTCAGCTGTGAGTAGTGTACACATTATTATGCAAGTTTAAATTTGAATCTTGATCTTAAAAAGAAACTGCTGAGGAAGGAGAGTCAGGAAAGGTGTGGAACTACCTAAAACAAGATTTTTAAAATTCAGAGACTGGAGAGGACAGATCAAGCCTAAGTGGTGGTGGAAAGATGGGGCAAACATCTGAACACGAGGGATCCCAATTCAAGGGTCAAACCTGTATCTACCCAACTTGGGTACCCTAGAGGTTCTCATCCTGTGTGTCTACACCACATCCACCACCTGCCAATCTAACATTTCTCCTGGCTCCCCCCCCCCCCCAAAGCTCCCCACTGGAATCCAGCTTTTTCTCCACGTGGGCCTTGTTATCCTATGCCCCAGCCAGGGAGCCCATGAAAGTCCTCAGGTCCCTATCCTCCATACGCACTGCTGGCCTCTGGTATGCCTCCTGTGAACTTTTTGGCTCATGGAATAGTGGGCCCAGGAATGGTGATGGACAAAAAGATGCAAAAAAAAAAAAGAGAAAAAAACAAATTCATTAAGATACACAAACTCCATAAGCATGGCAAACTTTCCTCCTCTTCTAACAGTGACTTTGACTGAATACAGGGTTCGGACACTTCTCTCACGTTTCACCAGTTCTGGTTTCCCATCAAGCTTCAGTTACCATGTGTGGTACTGGAGGAAATTAGCCCTTGTGGCCCCAGCGACCTGTTCCTGAGCCTTATTCTATTTAGTCCTGAGTGGCTAGAAGAGGATTACTACGGGATAGCAAAGGCCATCCTCTCACTGCTTGATAGCTCTTATAGCTGAAGGGTAGCAAGGAGCCATCTTTTGAGGATGGGGAGAACTCTGAGCTAAATGCTGAAGAAAAGTTTAAGATTATAAAATGTGATCTTTTTTTCATTTCCTTAATACCTTTGATTGGGGAATTCTGGAGAAATTTCATTACAGTGAAAAACCCTGTACCTTTTTTGTAAGTGTGGCACACTTGGGTGACTTAACAGCAAATGTATTTCCTAGCAGGCCTTTTATTGATTCTAACTGCAAGGCTGCTAGAATATAGTGTTTGGTTGATGATCTCTGATTGCACTTTTAGAAGCTGATCTCCATCCTTAGCTCAATGTAGTAACTCCTACTCCAGCATATAGTCTAAATAAAGCTATTAATTCTTCCATAGGGGGTAGGAAACATTTTGAAAATGCAAAAAACAGTGAACTAATACCAGTGGTCCCTGTACTGAGCCATGGATACCAAGGTCACCTACTGGGCCTCCTTCAAGATTATTAACGTATGAATTAATCCACTCGGACAGGCACCAGTTCTGACAAATGGTTTTGTAAAGTAATAGCATTCAAAATTCTCAGGCCATCACTTAAGAATCCAAGACATCTGGGAGCTGACAACAAATTGGGTTTTCTCCCACCTTTTCTGGAGTCAGAACATGTTTGATTACATGGCTGGCGTAATATTTTAAGCATTATTAAGCCTTACTACTTCTGACTGAAATGCGAAAAGAAAAGTTGGCTTACTGTTCTCAGTTCTTTAAAAATAGTAACAGACTTGTAAAATCTCAAAAGTACTATCCATGAGCCTAGGACCAAAAGGTATCAAAATCAATAAGCAAAGGCAGTTCTGAGACATAATTTGGTTATTTACAGAGTGTTCACTTATACATTAGACGAGTAGTTCTAATTACTCGATACATTTTTTATTATAAACGGGTTTTTTTGTTGTTGTTTCAGGGCCTTGATCCTTTCTCAGTGATTTTGGCAGACTAGACATACAGCGCCCTCTCCTGCTCAGAAGAAAAAAGGTGTTTCACAACATCCAGATTTACCGCAAGAACTGCGTAGGCATTCCAAAGAGTCTGTGACCCTAAAATACTTTCTAAACAAAATGTCTGAGAGTATTAACTTGAAACTTAACATTAAGATGTCAGAAAAGCCGGGGATTTAGCTCAGCAGCAAAAGCACCTGCTTTGCAAGCGCGTGGTCCTGAGTTCAATCCTCGGTACAAAAACAAAACAAAACAAAACAAAACAAAAAAAAGATGTCAGAAAAGTGTTATGTTTAAAAATTCAAAGTTTCACTTTTTTGCAACTCACCGAAGGCTTCTGCCCCTGGCCTTGGGCCCCTCGTCACGGGTACCTAGCGGCACTCCATGCTCTTTGTCCCCAATGGCCTGCCTGCTCCCTCAGAACGGACCTCTGCCGAGTGGATTTGACCTTTATTGACCAAAATTTCACTAGTTTGCTTTTTAATTTTTTGCCACTATGGGGTTTAGAAAGAACCTAAGAGCTTAGGCCTAGGCGCCTAAGCCAAGGGAAGGCGCGGAGCCCAACGACCCAAACCTAGATGTTCCGAACTACCCACACCCTACCGCCTCCACGCCCCAAAGGCGTACGGTTCACGCCGCAGCCAGGCACGATTAAGACCCATACTTCGCGCGCATTCTCGCATTGCAGCGGCCATCTCGTTCAGGAGCTCCTCTACGACTGCCGGCAAGGCGACGGCCATAGAGCTAAAGGTTGCCCGCTTTAAAACGGACCCCCAGACTCAAACCTCCGGCCATTCAACAACACCCGCTTCCGACAGAGGGCGGAGCTTGAGGGAGTGACGTTGGCCTGCGTCATCGCGCATGCGGACAAAGCGATGACGCAGGCATGACGTCACGACACGACCAATCCTGTGACCGCTCGGCGCAGGGGGCGGGACGTCCCGGGATCCCGCAGGGCCTGCAGTGCGCAGAGGACGCCGCTGGAGCATGTTCCGTCTCCTGAGCCGGACGTTGGGAAGAGGCCTTCTGCGGGCAGCCGGGCGGCGTTGCCGGGGTTGCTCGGCGCGCTTGTTCTCTGGGCCCAAGGAAAGCCAGGAGCTGGAGGTGTTGGTGCCGCGCCACCGAGTTGCGTCCCACCGACGGGGCCCGGGCCTGCTGCCGGTATTGGCAGGTGAGCAGCGCGTGCCCGGCGGGCCTGGCTGGGCGGGGACAGGGGCGCGGGCCGGGTCTGGTGACCTCAGGGCCCCTTTCCGCAGCGCTCGCCTGGTTCTCGAGGCCTGCTGCGGCAGAAGGGGACGAGCATCAGGGAGCAGGAGCAGGCGCCGCAGAAGACGCAGCGGATGAGGCGGAGGCGGAGATCATACAGCTGCTGAAACGAGCCAAGGTGAGGCAGCTTGGCGAGCGCGTAGGCTTTGTGGACGAGGTCTGGTGGCCTTGTTGTTACGCATTTCTCCCTTCAGTTTACCAAAGCGTGCATAATGGTTCCGATGGTATAATTGCCCAGAATTGCGTGGGTCATTGATGTGGGGGTTGGGGTCCATCTAGACCGGTCTGTGTCTGAAGCTTGCAAGAAAAACTGCTGCAGTCTCTAGTCTAGACGGAGTTGGCCCCCTGGGTATCACTGTTTGATCCAAATTATCAAGAATGTTTTGTAGTTGTGCTTATCAGTTAATCCACCAAACTGAAATGACATTATTTTGCACATATTGTATGTACAGCATCCTGAAAATGCAATTTGTTGTTGGTTGTGCAGCTTGCTTCTTTTCTAAATTATTTTATTCTACGTCCTATTTTCTTCTCTTCAGGATAGCTCATCAGTTTCACTGGGCTAAATAGCAACTTGCTGGCAACAGTGTTCAAATTGATATTCTTGGACCACAGTGTCCATGCCATGCTACTCACGTGCCATCTCCACGAGGAGGCCTGCCACTACCTCTCAAGACTCAGTGTACCCAAAACTAAGCTTTTGATTTTAAGTGCCTCCCCAGTACATTCTTTCACCATCTTTTGTTTTGCTGCCTTCAGTTTCTTGGTTTAGAAACCTCATATTCATTCGTTATGTTTTGTTTTTTGAGAAACAGTTTCGCTGTGTAATTTAGGCTAGCCTTGAAGTCTCTTAGGTAGCCCAGGGTGGCTTTAAAGTCGTGTTGATCCTCCTGCTGCAGCTTCACAGAGTGCTGGTGCCACCACTCCTGGCCTCATAACTATTCTTAAAACCTGTACCTTAACATTTCCCAGTGCACAGCAATAATTCTTAGTGCCACCACATTAAAAAATATTTCTTAAATCTGTTTAAAAACTCTTATGGTTCCTTGACCCGAAAGCAAATCTGCAGACTGGTAGTCTGTGTTGCTCTCCTCCCCTCTACAGTTCATTCTGTATACAGCAAACTAAGTGATGTTTTAAAAAATGTGAACAAGATTATATCACCTTCTTGCCTAAAAACTCTGGATTCCTACTATACCTAGGATAAAACCTAAGATCCCTTCCATGGCTGTAAAACCCTACGTAATGTAAACGAGCCTTTCTCACCCATTGTGCATTAACAGCCAGTTAATCATCATTATTGTCACTCTTTTACATCACTTACCTTGTATGTCTTTTTTTTTTTTTTGTGGTACCGGAGATTGAATTCACAACCTCGTGCTTGCCAGGCAGGTGCTTATGCTGCTAAGCTAAATCCCCAGCCACCTTGTATGTCTTCTAAAGAACCCTTCTCTTGGCCTAAAGGGCTTTGTTCATTCTCTTTGATGCATTCTTTGCTCTGGTTCCTTATTTAGTTGACTCATTTTCATTTTTCCTTAGTTTAGCTCACATTCTTAGAAGATTTTTGGACTTCCACTGGAGGAGACCCTCAGTTTTTTATTTTTATAACTTCATGCTGAGTTGTGATCAAGCTCACTTTTCCCACAGAATCTCTTCCAGCCTTCAGGAAGAGAGAAACAGGATAAAGGGCAAGCAATTTCCTTATGAAATATAATGTAAGGATTATTCACATTCCTTCTGTCTGTGGGCAGAACTTCATTATGTGTCCATGCTTGGCTGCGTGGGAGGCTGACCTCTCTTGTCACCTGCATAAGCACAATGCTTCCTGCATCATAGGCATCCAGTAACTCTCTGGTGGATAACTTCTTTCTATGCATTGGGTGCATATCCTTACCTCCTTTTGTCTGCTAGCACTTGCATCTGCTATGTTTGTATTTCACTTAATATTGTTTTGTCTCCTCTTTTTAGTTGAGCATTATGAAAGATGAGCCAGAAGAGGCTGAGCTGATTTTGCATGACGCTCTTCGCCTTGCTTATCAGAGTGATAACAAGAAGGCCATCACTTACACTTACGATCTGGTAATTATCCTAACCATTTGGAGCTACTGATGAGGAAGTATGGATGTGGGGAAGGAATATTTTGTTGATTTATGTTCCTGACTGTTAGGATGAGGCCATCCTGAGCTTTTTTTTTTTTTTGGCAAATCCCTAGCAGGGTCACTTATAAGAGATATCTCAATTGTTACTTCAATAATGAATAAGACCTAGATTTGGTTATCAATAAAGTATATGCAACAAAATATTTACTTCTTACACCATTGCTGTACTGAGCTAGCAGATTAACTGGTGATACATTTTTCCCTATTTTTAACTATCATTTTAATTGAGGGGTGGGAGCAAAAGGAATCCCTAGCTTAGAGGTTTTTAAATGTCCTAAACTGAACAACAATTTGTAATTTGCTTTCAGATGGCCAATTTAGCATTTATACGAGGTCAACTTGAAAATGTAAGTAAATCATCTTGTAAATCGTCTTGAATTTGTAGCTAGATGTGGTGGCGCATGCCTGTAATCCCAGCAACTGGAAGGCTGAAGCAGGAGGATCATTGTGAGTTTGAGGCCAGCCTGGGCTGCATAGCGAGTTCAAGGCCAGTCTGCACTAGATAGTGAGATTGTGTCTCAAAAGAAAAATCTTGAATTTGTGAAGCCTCAAAGGAACTGTAGCAGGAAGAGTATAGGTTAAGCTCCTATCATAAAGAGACCCCACATTATAGGGTTTTTGTTTTTTTAAAATGCTATGTTTATTTTTTAATGCATTGTTCCATGGGTAGGCTAAGGACTAAAGGACAGTTTAGGCATTCTGGTGTCCATTACAGAAGCAAGGTTTTTTTTTTCTCAGATAAGTACTCCTGTACAAGGATGAGTTGATTCACCTCCAGCCTGTCAGGGAAAAAGAGAATGAAGGGCAAGTAGCATCCTTATAAGGTATAGTTAAAAGTTGTTCGTATTTTTTCTACCTGCAATTCTTGGGTAGGATTTTATGTGCTTATTCCTAGTTAAGAGGAAAGCTGATGTGCTGAAAATCAAGAAGATTTTATAACTACAGTGATACGAGGGACAATTAGCAGTCTGTTTTGGGACAATTAGCAGTCTGTTCTGCAGCAATTTGGATGAGAAGTTAATCTCTGAAGTTGGTTTGTACTCATCAAAAAGTAGTTTAAGGAATAGGATAAGGGGTCCTGATACTTTGGTCCATTCTCCTTTTTAGGAATACTGTTTTCTGTATTTGTCTGTGTGTTTACAAGGAATGATATGTGAGTGTGGTACCTAAAATTCATGGTCATCATAGATACTGGGGCACAAGTAAAGGAAAAATCTTTCCCTTATCCTTTTAGGCAGAACAACTTTTTAAAGCAACCATGAGTCACCTGCTTGGAGGGGGTATGAGGCAGGTAAGGACACTGTGTACTACTGATACCTCACTGAAGCAGTTTGCAAAATAGTCACGCTTCCTGGAAAGTCTCCTATCCTCCCACATACTGCTTTGACCAAGAGAGGTAGATTTTTTGCTTTTAGACCTTTATGAAAATGGCTACTGTTTCACTATTTCAGAAGGATGGTTGCTGAGGAATTCATAGTTGACTAATTTCCCTAAAAGATTAAACTGTGTGATTCTGAAACTAAAGGCATCCTAGAAGTTGATATGAAATATTCTGTGAGAAAATTTTATTTGTCATGGATTTTTCCTTTATCCTAACAGGAAGACAATGCAATAATTGAAATCTCACTCAAGTTGGCCAGTATCTATGCTGCTCAGAATAGGTAAGTAGTTAGAATCTAGCAGTTAGGGAATAACACTGTGGGCAGAAAATGCTGATCCATGGGATGTTACATAATCATTTCCCTAAAAGTCACCTGTGGTCTCCAGGAAATTGGGTATCATACTTCCAGGTGTTCCCCCCCCCCCCGCCTTTGCAATTCTAAGGGTTTTCCCTTTTTACTTTTGCTGTTTTTGCATTAATCTGCCATCAGGCTACCCTGTGATAAAGCTAGTCAGTTTGCTGTACTGGTTTGAAAGGAGATGGAAGTTAGAGTGGAAACGATAGTTTAGCTCTTCAGTGGAGAGAGCAATAGAAAAACTACAGAGGATGGTAGATTTTGAAGAAGCTGCAACGCTAATGTGTTAAGCATTAGCAAAAGAGGAAGTTAGGGATGAAGTTAAATGGTGAGAGTCACTGTGGAAGTATCTTGGTGCTTATTGGGTTATCCATTGTAGAAAATAATGACTATTTTTAAGGTTTGTGCAAAGGGTTTAGAATCAAGATGTTCTTTTTTTGGTACGGGGGATCGAACTCATGACCTCGAGCTTGCCAGGCAGGCACTTAAGCCACTGAGCTAAATCCCCGGTCCAAGATGTTCTGTTTAAGTGACTTGACCACTGCCTTTTGAAGATGTAGAGATGGTGATAGGTAGGTTTCTGGAAGACAATATAGCCAGAAATAGGGCCGGGGGCTGGCTTTACATAAGCAAGTCAAGAAAGAGGTGCTATTTTTAAAGTAGTTATTGAGTCTGAGTTATAAAGAAGAGACAGTCAGCTTTGGATATGAGCCAAAACCTGGGAACGCTGGCAGTGAGGGCCTTTCATTCCTATCAGTCTCTAAGTGGAAGTCAAAGATGAAGCAGGGCATAACAGAACTCCTCCAGAGATCGATTTTTTTTTTTTGGTATGGGAGATTGAACTCACAACTTTGTGCTTGCCAGGCAGGCGCTTAGGCCACTGAGCCAAATCCCTGGCCCTAGAGATTGATATTTTGAGGATCATTAGTTTAAAGAGAGAACTGAGGCTAGCTTCCTTTAGGATGTTACCTGCTGAAGAAGTTGATGCTAGAGGTTCAGAGTGACATTCATCAAGCCAAATACTGTACAAAGGGTGCTCTTTGAAGCCAGAAGCCCTCACACTGTCCCTGCTGTGCTCGTCACCACCAGCTCCTTCATTCTTAGCAGGACCTGCTTATTATCCCTGCAGCCTGATCCCAGGTGAAGTAGGCTAGGACTTCTGAGAGCCTTTGGTCTTGTAGAGCCATTGATGTATCCATTAGTGATTATCCTCTAAGTTATTCTATACTTTTCAGAAACATGAGGTGTTTTTTTGTTTTGTTTTTTTTTTTAAGCCATAGCTAGGTCCTGAGACCTAGAAAGTTTTTTTTCAATTTATTTTTTTTTAAACTTTTTATCGGTACCGGGTATTGAACTCACGACCGCCTGCTTGCAAAGCAGGCGCTTTTGCTGCTGAGCTAAATCCCCAGCCCCGAGACCTAGAAAGTTTGATACAAGTAGGAAAGAGAGTTGTTTGTAGACCTTTTCCTCTCATTGGGGACCTCTTGTGGCAGCCTCCTCCCTCATATGCTGGCCAGAGATTGTCCCTTCTCTTAAGATTTGAGTCCAGTGTAGGAAGAAGACAGTTCTGTTCTGAGAACAGCAAGACCATCAGAGCTCTTCTTGTAAAGCTAGAGAATAATGAGCTTTGTAGTGGCACTTTTGGTAAGAAAAGCAAGAATGAAAGCTGAGCTCCTATATGGAGAAGAATTTCCTGCTGTCATGGAAATGGACAGCAGAGTGAATCTGCTTGCTTGGGTGCCCTCACTAGTTAACGTATTGATCCAGGGCTAAATACCTTCCCATACCCTAGCTAGGAGTTCCAGTTCTGTAAGAGACTTTTATCAAAGACCTAAAGGTTGGATTAAGTATTAAGTGACCAGAGCTTCTCCGACGCTGCATGAAGGCCTAGAGTGCATCCTCCTGTGCACGAGGGAGCTGTTTTACCTCCCGTGCAGAGCCTGAGCCTTGCTCTGTGCAGGCGGTATTACTTTGACAGGTATGCGGCATTGCCACACAGGGAGTTACTTTGCCAGGTGGAGAAAAGGACTCTTGTGAAACTTGGTTATTGCAGGGGAGGAGTGCTGAAAGACTAGTGCTAGATATGTTAGTTATGAAAATTTGGCAGCACTTTTACCTTTTGATGTCTTAATTTACCTTACGTGTTGGTGACTTTCAGAAAAATAAAACTTCTGAGCGGTGGAAGAGTGACAGCCTGAAGAGACATTAAGCAAAGTTCCTCTTTGTTTTACTGAGATGGAAAAGATGAGGTCAGAAGAGTTTGAGGTAAACAACTGACCATTGATCTTTGTATTACAGACAAGAATTTGCTCTTGCTGGCTATGAATTCTGCATTTCAACTCTAGAGGAAAAAATTGAAAGAGAAAAGGAGTTAGCAGAAGATGTTATGTCAGGTAGGAAACTAAGTCTTCTGGGGTGTGTCTGTTCCACAAGGGCTTCACTGCTGCACTTAAAGAGAAAGATACCTGCATTCTGGAACTGTTTGATTGTTATAAGTCTTAGCAGAGGTTTTGAGATACCTTGTTTAAATAACTAGACTGCTGGGGCTGGGGATTTAGCTCAGCGGCATAAGCGCCTGCCTTGCAAGCAGGCAGTCGTGAGTTTGATCCCTGGTACCAATAAAAAGGAAAAAGACACAACAACAACAACAACAACAACAACAACAACAAAAACTAGACTGCTGGATTTTGGAAGTAGGGTCTCACTTTGTGGTTCGGGCTGGCCTTGAACTCACTGTGTACTCAGCCTGACCTTTGGACTCGCAGTGATCCTCCTGCTGCAGCATTCCATGTGCTGGGGTTACAGGCGTGTGCCACGATACTCAGTTTTTGTTTTTTAAACTCCTGGGTGACATTTTTCACTTTTCTTTGTGGTACTTGGGTTAACAGTAGCTTAGTAGGTCCTGGAGTTGCCCAGTGCTGGACTCAAACTTACTATCTTCCTGCTTTAGCTTCCTTTACTGCTGGGATTATAGCTGTGCACTACCATGCCCAGCTGAAATGTTTATAGTCTCTCTCTTAACTTTTAGTTAAACATAACTTGTAGGAATTTAGGGAGCAGAAAGGGAGGGCTCTTCTTTTATTTCTTAGTTCAGCCTCTATTCAGAATATTATGGGGCAGAGGATGTAGCTCAGCGGCACAAGTGTCTGCCTGGCAAGCACCAGGTCATGAGTTTGATCCCAGCAGCAAACAACAACAGAACGGCTGTGTAATCCTGCAGGTTAAAGATGAAGAAAAAGAATCTCGTGTTTCTGCAGTTCATTCTCATGGAGGCTAGGAATAATTGGAGTATGCGAGAAACTCTTGAACTCTTGGCTGTTTGGGTTTTTTAATTTAGTTTGAAGTATTAGGAATTTTCAGGTTTGGCATCTTTAACTCGGTTCAGTTACTACATGCCAAGACCTAGCGAGATAGGGGATACCACAGTCAACTGTATCATCCCTAGTAAGATCCCACAAGAGTTTCTGTGCCAGTTGTTTTCCAGTTCTGTCTTGAGCATGTGTAAAACTTCCTTGCAGTTCACTAAATCCAGTCCTTACTTTCCTCATTAAGAGCTCTGACCACGGGATCCCCGTCTACGGCTAGAGCACTCCTCTTGGCACTCCTCTGAGCACTTCACTGGTCTTTCCCTCCCCTTCCTGACCCTTGATGTGCTGGGCCGAGGGACCATCTGCAGCCTCTTGTTTTCCTGCCACCCTCATGCCCTGGCACATGCCGTATAATCTTGTACCTTTAACACGGTGATACTTTGATTCATGAATGCTTTTGTTTGTGAATAATTTGGCTTGCAAACAGAAGCATTTGACAGAATTTTGTTTTTGTTTGTGAGCTCTGTATCAGGTAACGAACACCTTTTCCAGAATCATGGAACAAAATTGATGAACTGAGGCACCACTGGGATCAAACCTTCAACCTTGGCTCCCTCCAAACAGCTAACTTACGGATCTGCTGACTTAAGGGGCCTTAACCTGACTTGAATGTTGACTGCTCACCTCACACTTAACGTATCCCATGTCCAAAATGTGTCCCTTGATTTCTGCCACTCAGACTTAATCTCTACCAGACGACCCCAGCTTAGTAATGGTACCAATATTCACAAGTTGCTTGGTCAGGCGCCTAAGACTGGTCCATGATTTTCTCATTCCTCATAGTTTATCCATCAGCAGGTTATGTTGGCTCAGCCATCAGAGCATGTCAGAGCACAGTTCATCCTCTTACCCAGCTGCTGTAGTTTGCATTAACAGTTTCTTGCCTGGATTCCTATAACCTCACAGGCTTCCCTGTTTCCTTCCCTTTACTGCCTTACATAATCTTTTATCTATTCAGCAGGCAAAGTGATCTTTTGAGGACCTCAGTGTCATAGTACCACCGTTAGAGTGAATCCAGAGTCCCCCTCTGGACCGCGGAGGCCCTCTGATCTGGCCCCCACTTTCCTCTCTACGTCATCTGCTGCACGCGCTTTGCTGATCTCATGCTCACCACACTGCACTTTGTGCTGTCCTGTGTGTCCTGGCCTTTTGACATCTCAGTCTTTCTCTTTCCTTCTGTCTCGTGCTTCCCCACTTAGCTCCATTCAGGTCTCTGCTTCAGTGCGGTGTCACTTCCTTAGAGCCCTGCCCTAACAAAAACAGTTGTCTGTTCCCAATGTAGTTTTGCTCTTCCTCTTGGTCCTTTCATTTTCTAATCTTGAAAGTAGAGGTGTGTGTTGTGTACTTATGTTTGTGTTGCCAAGAAAAGTATATGTTTGTTCAAGTGTCAAAGAGGGATTGAGGAGTCATCTGGTTGCTTATTACCAAATGCTTGGTACCCAGGACAGTGCTTGGCACATAATAGAGGTTCAGTAGTTAATGAAAGAACAAAGACTGACAAGTAGATACAGTTTGATTGTAGTGTGTGGAACCTGCAAAAGATATAAAAACAAGGGTTACAGTCAACTACATCAACTGTTCACACTGTTGCTAGTTTATGTTTACAGCATGGACGTTCGTTTTTTGTTTTGCTTTGTTTTGTTTTGAGACAGGGTATCACTGTAGGTCAGGCCAGCCTTGAACTTGCTTATGTAGCCTAGGATGGCCTTGAACTCACAGCAATCCTCCTGCCTCGGCCTCCTCTGAGTGCCAGGAACCCAGGCATGCACCACCACACCTGGCTTGATATTAGTTTCTTAAGAATGTAAACGCACCATTTTTAATTCCAAATGTAATACCAGTTACCACTGAAGAAAAAGTCTTGCTACTAAGAAAGTAGCTGTTATGGCTGGTCCGATGGCAGTGAGTTATCAGAACTTATTAACATTAGTGTCACTAAAGTTGGTATACCACCCCCCCACTGCTAAATTTGACTGGCTTTAAAAAAAAAAAAAAAAAAAGAAAGTAGCTGTTATTTTTTAGTATTTGTCTTTTCTAGCTTTCTCACCTGTGTTCTTTATATTTTAAATAAATTAGAGATTATTTGTAACTTATTTTTTATAATTAATACATCTTTTTCTCAAGGCAAGGGAATTTTTAGACAGAGCAAGCCAATTTCTATTACAAACAATCTTATTTTTTCCAGAAAAGAAATTAAATCCTACTCAGTTTTGAACAAAGCAGATAATTACAGATTTATGTGCTTTTATTGGTGTGACTAACTCTACCCTAATAGAGGGCATTGTTTAAGATCATGTTTAAAACTTGGTCCAGAGTAGTTTGTTTGTCATGTCCTAGATACATTTGTAATTATATGTGTAATTAGTGGGAAATGCCTATAAAAAATTAAGTGAAAATGTTAGTTGCCACAGTTAGGAGGAACTAATTTTCTAGAATACACAGATTGAGTGCAGTGGTACCTCAGTTCATGAACTCAATTCTTTCCATGATTCTGGTAATAGACAGGACAACTACTTTCCCCATAAGGTCAACATTGAACCCAACCATTGAATTTGATATGATTCTTGTCTAACTTGGTTTGCAACCAGAATTGTGGAGAGAATCAAGTTGATGAACTAAAATACTGCTGTATAAACACAGAAAATTTTCTTTTGGTTGGCAGATTTATAGAAATTTATATCTCATTTGTATTTTTCTGGATAGTCTATAATTTTGTACAAGTTTATATTTGTCTTGTTACACTTTAATTTCTGCTGCTACGTACATAATATAATAAAAAGTCAGTAATATTTCAAGGCTTAATTTAAAACAGGATTTTTTTGCCATACCTCAAAACCAATCTTTTTTTATTCATTTGTTCATTTATTTATTTTTTAACCATGCTGGGAATTGGACCTCGGGCGTCCTGCACGGGGGCTGTGCTGTACCACTGGGTCACAGTCCTTCGACCAGTGTATTTTTAACTGTACTAGTGTCTTCTGGTATTTACTTCCACATTTCTTTTTTTTTTCTTTTTCCTTTTTATCGGTACCAGGGATCGAACTCACGACTGCCTGCTTGCAAGGCAGGTGCTTATGCCACTGAGCTAAATCCCCAGCCCTACTTCCACATTTCTAAATAACACAAAATTGTTGTTGCTTGATTTGTTACTTTGGGAAGCTATTGATTCATGCACAAGTGAAGATTTGTTGTTGTTTTTTATTTCTTTCCTTCTGTTTTTTTTTTTTGGTCTTTTTGAGACAGGGCTTCAAAGGTTGGCTTTGAGCTCATCTTGTCACACTGGCCTCGATCCTGTGGCACTTCTCCTGCTCAGCCTCCCGAGTACTGGGGTTATAGGTGTGTGGCACTACACTTGGTACTTCTCTTTTTTTTTTTTTTTTTTTTTAATTTATTTTAAATAGAAAAAAGCAGAAAAATCAATAAGCAAACTAACCAGAACAACAATAACAACAAAAGTAAAACAGTAGCAATGTAGGTTTTCAAAATAAGATGTTAGGAATTTAACAGAGGTTGTTATGTTGCATATTGTCATCTTTAAAATAGGTGCTCAGGTTACTAGGTATAGGAATAAAGCAAAACAATCATAAGGAACAAAACACTGGATTTCAAAAACAAGATGAAAGGAAATTTCCCTCAGTAATGCATATTGTTATCCTCCAAATAGATGCTCAGACTACCAGGCTTAGGCCTGCGAAGTCAATCAAATAGTACAAGCACTAAGTAGTTGTTACTCTTACTATTTTACTTCAGTTGCTGTCCTGTCAGCTGAGTTCCTCCGGATCAGCCAGTTGCTTGGAGGGGGTGGACGGCCCATGTGCCAGCTGGCTCATGGGAAGGCACAGTCTGGCCTCTTGATTTTCTTCCCATTCCCTTTTTGTTGTTTTATGTTGTGTTTTGAGACAGGGTCTCACTGTGTAGTGCAGCTACCCTTGAACTCTGCAGCCCAAGCTGGACAGTGATCCTCCTGTCTTTGGCTCCCAAGTGCTGGGGTTACAGGTGTGCAGCACCACACCGGCTTGGATGAT